GAAAATACATGTGTGATGTTTTTATATATGATTTGCAACTGTTTTCTCTTTTGGATACTATAGTACAAGAGTGTGTTAGGATTGAAAATTGCACAGGCATGTTTCAAATCTAAGCTCTGTAGTCCATTTGAAAAGTTTGATAAATTGGTTATTTTAAACAGAAATGCATGTTTTTGTTTGCTTTTGCTGTTTTAAATGATTTGTCTTCAGATTAGATTTGTTTGTCACTTTATAACTTCCTATTTATGTTTCCTGTCAATTCCTGTAGTTATTAAATATTCTTGATATTCTTTTCCACTTTTCAATTAAATATAGAAAGTCACATTGAATGTTTATTCTATCTATCTATCTATCTATCTATCTATCTGTCTGTCTGTCTGTCTGTCTGTCTGTCTGTCTGTCTATCTATCTATGAGAAAGATACAGAAACATATACGTATACATACATAGTGTTAAACCCTTCCCTTCCACAACTGGTTGAGGTTATTTTGACACCTATATTCCCTATCGTCATAACAAGATTAGCTTGAAGTGTCTGGCACACTGTGCCAGGAGCCCAAGAGTCCATATTAGCCTATTAAGGACACTGTGTATCATGATGGCAGAGGGTAACTCTAGTATTTATAGCTTTGAGTCATAAGCTGGAATGGTGTAAGTGTATCTCTCCATCAGCATGCTTGTTCACTTAAGAGTGTGTACAATCATCAGAAGAACTGGGAGCTGTGAATTGTCCAGGATGAGCAAAATATCATACGCACAGGTATTATAACTCCACAGACTGTACTGGATTACTTTGCTTTGTATATGTTGCAAATACATAAATTATTTCTTAACAAAGTTCCTAAGAGCTTTACAGACAAAGAACAATAAAAACAGTTGACTAAATTAGGGTAATAAGCCAAAAACACTGAGTATGACCAATAATTGGAAACAAAGTTATGCTGATGAACTAACTCATTGTGATGTACCACTTTGGACACATAATAAGTTAAATGAATGCTTTATTATCAGATTTGATTGAACTAGTAATCTTTTTTATGATTTGATGGTGTTATACATCAGCCATTACTCTTATACTGTAGAAAATACACCACCTTTAATACAATATTTCAACACAAAGTGTACTACAATATTCTCAAAGTCCAAAACAAACTCACAATGTTTCATTTGGAGAGGTGGGATTTTAGGACCACAGTATATACAGCAAGATGATTTATGGCTCAGTTGACGTGTGAGTGATGGCTGTGATATGACAAGTTTATGATGTGGCAATGTAATCACAAGACCATATCACAACTGAAGAAGCCAACAAGATGACAGACATGAAGGTGATAATCCTCTGCAAGATTCTGTTTCATAAATTAATGTTTGAAAATGCCTTTTGCCTTGTGTTTGTTTAGAACAACCAAAATCCATTTTATAATCTCTCACTTCTTATGCACAGTACTACCTTTTATGAAAAAATTACAAATAATCCAGATTCAAATGCTTCATAATTGCTGTAAACAAAGTTTTATGGCTGTCGCTTCTTTGTCTCTGACAGACTGTTTGCACAAATATTGAAGCAGTGGCCAGGCAGGCCGGTGTCAAGGGCTTAACATAGATGATGTGATGAATAGTCAAGTGGACTAAGTTTAGCTCTCCTGTAAGAGCATTCATCAGAAACTGAAAAGGCTGACCAGTGAAACAGGCTCATGGTACCTGTGGGTTGTGTTGTTCTATTACAACAGTTTGTGTTGTGTTGTTGTGTCTGTAAATAGATAGCTCAGGTGCTAACTTTCTAACATCTTTGTCAAAATTAAATGGAATTTATGTTTTACATGGATGAATAATGTTAAATCAAATATGCAAATATTACGATTAAAAATCATACAGGACTTAATTTACCTGCATAGTTTAGCTCATTTCAATGTTTGTGTTTTGTACTTGCGTTTGAACTCTGGCTACCCAAACTTTGATTTTTCTTGCTTTTCCCAGTGCTTTTTCTTTGCATTGTGATGCTATAATATCAGGAGGTGGAACATCATTTACATAAGTAATCAGCTGATTGAGGTCTACAAAGCCACACTGCAAGATCCCAAATCCTCAATGAGTTAAAGATAATACCCTGTGAATGCAAGGCTGCGGCCAAGATGGAGAGTAAGGTCTAGAAAGTCTAATCTCTTTCTTCAGTTTATTTCTTATAGCAGACAAAATTGAGATGGTAGCTGCACTGACTAAGACCCAGAGGGACATTGGGATTGTAGGATCACGTGCTTTACTGAGATATTTTTGCAGGAAAATCTTCCAAAGAGGCAGACTGGCAAGAGGAAAGGTGTGAGGATTGCAGTACATGTGATGTAGAATTAACAGATGATGTTATACTGGAAATGTTAATGTGAACTGCTTGCTGCGAGGCTCCAATCATGTCATTGGTCGAGGGAGTTCACATGTGTTGCTGCTGCTTGCATCCCGGTTGGGGCAGATCAAGTATGTGAACGCATTAGTTGTATTCAAACAGACAATACCCAACTACTTTAGGAGACACTCATGATACACACTGAGCCCGCTTCATATGCTGTGAGTAGGATATCACAGGTTGCTAATGGAGGTCTGCAGAGACCTTTTAAGGGTTTTTCTGTGTTCTGTGAGCATGAACATGAAATGAGCTCCCTGGTTAACTGCAAAATGGAGCAAACTGACTTCTGTGGGGACAACACAATCAGTACCAAGACAGTGTGATTTTTGGACTTTATCAGCTCTTTATCACCTGTAAAAGCTGCTAAATATGAAGAACTGAGCCTTCAGAAATTGACAAAGAGACACGACAGGGAGATTTTCAGGAGATGTGCAGATGTGTCAGTACACGTGGCCATCATCATGGGAATACCTCAGTGGATTGTCTTCTTACCTTTCTGTTTCATCCTTGCACCTTGGACTTAATAAAAGAATACATGACATTTCCTGTGCTGTCAGCAATGGACTGGAGATGTGTTAGTATTGAGAACTCATGGACCACTTTGAAATATATGCTGCTTTAAATGGATATAACATTGCTTTAATTATGCTAGTATATGTGCCATAGAGATGTAATAAACTTTCAAAAGGTTTCAAAATTAAATTGATGAACAGGTCTTAACAGGTTAAAACATAGTGTCTGTGTCCATTTGCACACTGATTAGCCACAATGTTTATACTGTAGGTCCTGAAAAACAACTGTGACCCGTTGGGGTATGGAAATGAACCTGGCAGGAGACCTGATAGTTTTAGGTTGGGACCTTTGGGAATTATGTTTGATTTAAGACATTGTTTCAATGCATAAGCAGATGGGAATCTGCTTATCTGTCATGGTCCTGGGTCGTTGACCCAGTGTTTTGAGTTTATTGTTATTATTTTCCAGTTTCTGCTGTTTTGGATTTGTTCTTATGGTTTGAGTTGTGTGTTTAGTGTTTCTATCATCCCTACCTGTGTCCTTCCTCTGTGTTCTGTTCGTGTCCCCGAGTTGGTGTTGTGAAACAGTCTGTGAGTTTCCTGTTTTACTTTGTAGGTTTGTGTCTCGTTATGCCCATTAGTTCCAGCTGTGTCCCCTCCTGTGTGCCATTTCCTGATTACCTGGTGTGTGTATTTATACTGCGTGTCTGCCTGTGCTCCTCGTCTCGTCGTCTGCATTTCTCTGCATAATTTTGGTATGTCTCCGTGTCTCTCTGTTCCTCGCTTTGTGTCCTCTGTTTGTGTTAGTTTCACCAGTTTAGGTTTATGTTTAGTTCTGCCCTCACCTTGGATCTTTCACCTTAAATAAATCTCCACCTGCATCTCCACTGCCATCTGCATCTTGGGTCCTCTTCCATTCCACCACACGACTGCTGCCCAGCCGTGACATTATCAGAAGCAAAATGCTGTGTAATTACATTGTTTGGTTTGCCTTAATCCCAGCAGCAATGACAACAGGCTAATGGCAGTGCTAAACTCTCATTTTCTGGTTTATTGCTTGTGAGATTTTCCACGTGTGCAGATATTAGCTGTGGGGCACTTAAGTGTGTAAACATTTAAAGCTGAAACTTTGAAACTTTAAATCAGCCAATATCAGCAAGAAAAGAAAAACTGAAGTATCTGATAAATCTTTCTTTGTAATACCAGTGATATATGGTATTAGTTAGTGTAATGAAAGCTAACCAAAAATTAGCTGCCGGTAGGCATTAAGCCAAGCACAATATCAGTGCTTATTAAGCTGTTGCAAAGGACTGTGCACACTGTGCAAAATGTGTCTTTATTTGGTATCAGTACACAACATTTGCAAATCAAATTTAAAAGAAAATGCTCTGTACACAAGACCCTGTGTGATGCAAACTGTAGAGCATTGGTTGTTACTTATATATAGGTGTGGTAAATAATATGTGTACACATATCAATCCAGATATTGAGCCAGTATTGTTATCGGAGCAATACTAGCAAGATGGAATCGATGGTTTAGTAAAAGCTGTGTTTTATTTTGTGAACTAAATATTCTGAAAAGTAAAAAATGCTTTAGTGATATTTAAAATGTGTTCAGAATTTGCAAACTGGTGATGATTCATGTCATAAATCATGACACAGCTCTCTGCTCTACATAAGCTGCTTTTTAAGTTAAAAGTATATATATTGGTTCTTGGTATTAGCAAAACTCACTGTGTCTTTACTTGGTATTGGATTGCTACCAAACATTGCAGTATTGCAAATCACTAGTAAATAATTATGAAGCTATAAAAGAAAATGGTCTGAAAATATCATAAAAATCACAGTATTGGCCACACATTTTATTAGAAATGAAAAACATGTGTAATGTGTAATTGACACTTTACAGACAGTTGTAGACTAAATCCACCATTTTTAATGAAGAGCAGAGCAAAGATCTGTTCTGTAGCCTATAAGTATCAGTTAAATATGCCCAAATCTTCAGAAACAGGCTTAGAATCATAGGCAAGGTTAATAGATTAGATCTTTGAGGTTCCTAAAAAACATCTGTGATCTTTTGTACCCTACAGCATCACTTCGGGACCTTTGGACGGTGTTGACAATAAGGGTCTCCAGTTGGGTGTCCAGTCGCAGACAGGTCCTCAGCAGCAAAACCAGCAGCTCCTCTTGACTCCAGCCAGCCTCCAACTCGCTCAGCTCCAGGCCCAGCTTACCCTCCATCGCCTGAAACTGGCTCAGGAAGGCAACACAGCTGCTGCGGCCACTGTTCTCAATCAGGTTCTCTCCAATGTCAACATGTCTCAGCCCTTGTTTAATCAGTTACGGACTTCAACTATGGTTGGAAGTCAACAGAGTGCCTTCCCCACAGGAGTTCTAGGTTTCCCCTCTTCAAATTCAGCCTTGGGAGCCTTGGTCAGTGGGGGATTCAACCAAAATTCAGGCAATGTTAGGCTGAACCATCCTTGTGGAGGAGACGCAATGGCTCAACAGGGCAATGAGTATGGGAAAAAGTCTGGGTCGACTTACCCCTCTGACACAGACAGACGACTTCAGTACAACTTATCTGGAGGGACATCTGCAGCATCAGCCACTGCTGGTAACGGGCTGTCCACAGTTATCAATACTCAGGCAAATAACATGACCAACGTTGGTCTTCAGCGAGATTTCTATAGGCAGGATATGCAAGTACAACAAGCTGGGTTTAGTGAGCAGAAAATGAACATTTTTAACTCAATGGGACATAAAGAGCAATGGCAAGGTCAAACCAACTTGTCTCACACCGGTATGGTGGATGTGGGTTCTAATCCTCCCCCTGCGTGGACACCAGCTGGACAGCCGGCTCGGCCTAGGACTGAACTATATAACCCAGAGGAGCCAACCCGTGATACGAAGTTAAACTGCAATAGTGCAGCAGTTTCCTCTTTTGGTTCAAGTGGCATGCAGGCTTTAGGACTCTACCAGCACCTGCACGGAAAAGAGGAAGCTTTATCGTCAGGTACCAGGACACTTCAGCATTATCAAGTCAATGATTACCATGCTGTTACACCCACTCAGCTGCCACACCAGTGTAGCATTTGTGACAAGAAGGTCTACAACCTAAAGGTGAGCAAACTGATGAGTGTAAATCTTAGCACGTGACCATTATATGAATCTATGCATTTGTATATTTGAAACAGGAACAGAACAGTTAGTTTTCTTGAACTAAAACACAAGTTTGTGCGTTGCTTTGAGGATTTTACAAAATTTAAACAAGTCCTGACTTTCTGTAAGAGCATTAAGCAGATATTAAGAATAGCTAATATACAGTAGTTAAGTATTTTTGTTCGATGGCCTCTAAGTCCATGATGGTGTCTCTTTAATTGGTTTCAGCCATGAGGTTATACAAAGGGTAGCTAAGAGCCACTAAGGGAGGGCAAGTATTGGGCTTCCTGTGTCTAAACTGTTTGAGTCTACATGTTCAGACAGTGTTTATGTGTGTGCGTGTGTTTAGGACTGGGAACAGCACGTGAAGGGAAAGCTACACCTCCAGAATCGAATGTTGTATGCAAATGACGGGTGAGTCATTTACAACTCCAAAAATTCACTGCACAGAGTCTAAATTAGACTATCATTGATGACTGAGGACGTTCAGTAAGCCTCTGTGTTGATGTGATTTGTTGTGGTTTTTGTTTTGCCGAGTTTCAGACTTTTTACACAGCTTTAAAACGATGTCGATCAATTCAGAGCAAACCTCTTTTAGCAGTTGGAAATATGTTAGTTTCCTTTTCCTTGCTTCTTATGCAGCTGTCTTAATCTTTCTATGAATATGAGCTCTGTCATAAGATATGAGCAAGCAAGGCAGGGGAGAGGCAGCTAAAATCAGCCGTCTCTGATTGTTGCAGTTCAGCGGTGGTATCAGCTGGAGCTACTCACTATGCTGTCAGCAGGCCTTCTGATGGAGGTCTGAACCCCGCAGGAACGAACCCCATAGTCTGTTCTGCTGCGAGTCAAGGTAGGATAACCCACCACCAACACCACCAGCTGTGTATCTCCTTACATTAGCGCAAAGTGTAAAACATCAGTCTTAACTCCTGCTGTAAGAGTGATATTTTACTCATCACTTGATTATGAGAAACGGGGTATTTTTAGGACATGAGGCAGCATGTTTTTAGAGTTGAACACTTCTTATTTTAACACATTGAAGTGCCGCGGGCAGTTAGCACGAAGTGTTTTGAAGTCCTAAAACAGTGCTGCATCGTTGCCAAATCATCTTTTTTTGTACATGCTGGAGGAGTAGCAGTAAACACAACAAAGCCGAAGACTTCTACGCACTGCTTTTCTGACAAACTGTCTTGATCCTATTATATATGCTTCATGCATTCACTTATGTATAATTACTAACTACAAACTGCCAACAAGCCCATACAGCATTAATAATATTTGTGCCTAATTAACTAACACAATTTTTATTGGATGAGTAATCTGTTAGAAGATCTCGGTCTCAGTATTGTATTCCCATTGCTTGGAAGGATGGTGAAGAAATGTCTTTAAATAAAATGGAAACAATGTGTTTTGAGCTACCCAAGACTGGGTAGCTGTTTGAACTATGCTAGTACTGTGTGCCAATTTCCAATAGTTCTGAGGTCATTCCATCATAGTTACAGCTCCTATGGCACATTCAACCAATTTTAAATTTAGACAATCTTCTCTTTAGGGTTTAAATAAATCTGAAGCTAACATTTGGATATCTATTGTGTAGGGGTGGGGGGAAAAATCGATACTGTGTAGTATCGTGATAATTTGTTTGCTAATAATGTATCGATACAGGGACAGCAGAAATCGATATTTTGTTACAAAAAAGGTTTTTGTGCTCTGACTTCAGAGCATGTTGATCCTTTTTCTGAGCAAGAATCCTGACATTCCTTCACTGTCCAAATGTGTTTAACTTTTTTTTGGCAGCAATAAACATGACAGTTTACTTATTTTAATTTAAGACATGTTTTATTTTAATTAAGTTTAAAACTTTTTTATTTAATGTAAAATTCTATTTTGTTTTAATTTACTTTCAAATTCTTCAGTTGCTGAAGGGGCTGCATAGTTTTCATAAATTGCATAGTTCAGAATAGCTATAATTGTACCAGATGGTTGCATTCAGTTAAGTTGGACTAGACTGTAATACAAACCGTTCAGTTTGTCAACAATAAAACTGAAATGAGAGAAAGACTGAGTGTGAGACTTTGATATTAGATAAAATGAATATTGATAAAGTTTACCTTTATGTACAGAATCTGAATATCGCAAAATATTTTTAAAAAATCGCAATAATATCGTATCGTGCGTTAAGTATTGTGATAATATCGTATCGTGGGATGTATGGTGATTCCCACCTCTACTATTGTGGAGGCACTCTGCACTTAAGATTAAACCATCTGGTTTAAATAGTTTTGGAGCTGAAATCCAAGTGATTGGATGGTCCCTTATGAGCAAGTATTTACACAACAATGGGAAGGAAGAGCTCTCGTGTAACAAAAAGAGGCAGAACCAGGCTCAGGGAAGTTCAGCCATATGCTGCAACTGGCTCAAGCATGAGGGGAAAGAGACAAGAAAACATAATCACCACGAGTTAGCTAGGACTAATGCCTGCACAATTCTCACATCGGCCAAAATGGCAGAAATCATTCATGTGAATGTTGTGGTGCAGAGAAAACTGCAGAATGAAGACTCCAATCTGACTCATCAAACATTTTCATTCTCAGCTGCATCTCCATCTGTAATATTTATAAAGCTACAGGGCTTGTGTGAAAATGGGTTATGCGAATGAACTGCAACTACATCTGCATCAGAGTGGAGCATTATTACTGTTTTCCAGATGTTTCTCAAGAGTGACGAGTTTAGCAAAGCCTTTTCTTCCAGCTAGGTGCTGGTTGGAAAAAAAAGACTTTGAACAAAGAGGAAATTAAGACAAGCAACAATAATATATATATATATATATTAAACATTTTGAACAAAATATTTAACAATGTACTTTACTAAAGCAAAGTTCTTCCCTTGCACTGGGTTTACTGTTTCAGGACAGTTGTAAGTTCCCATATCAAATTGTTTCCACAGATGTATCCTCAGGAGCCAGTATGTCATACTTGCCAGCTACAGCCATGAAGACTTACCCCACGCCAGACACAGGATTTGCCTCACACCAGCCAGAGTCAAAGGTCAGACAAATGTTTGGGTTTTTTGGATTGGATACATGGTTCTTTGTTAGAGCTTGCCCAGAGCACATAAATCAAATTTTAAGATAAGTTGAAAAAAATGCTAGTGACAAAGAAGCAGCGGAAATTCTTGATTTTTCACTCCCTATAAAAAAAATTATATATAATTCAAATTTGATTTTTTAAATTACATTTGAACATCCAACAATATGTTCAAAGGACTCTTATACCTTTGACATGATCTCTTCATTTAGTTTTTCTGAGCATTTATTCTGCTACACTTCTTTCATGTGACATTTAAACATCAAGAAAGAGTGAATAAGTAAGAATCAACACCAAATGTGTGCTGCTTATTGAATGGACTCAGTTCACCTTGTTGACAGACGCTCAGGCCCAACACCAAGTTTCATGTTAGCGCTCTTCCACTGAACTTTAATAGTTAGAAGACTACTTCCAAATCTATCAAGCGCATGAATTATGAAAGCCCTAGGTTTAAAAAAAGAGCACAACAGCAATAAATACAAATACATACATAGGAACATTTATCCAGATTTACTCAAGAATATATTTATATTTTAAGAATAAGAGATTTTTTGTAATTGCTTGAACACTTTTTCTTTTACTTCTGTTTTCTGGTTATGCACACATTTGTAAAGACACTTAGATTTAACCTCCTGATGACACTGAAGGATTCAAACATAATTAATATTAGCAATGTAGAGGGTTACCAAATGGGTTGCAAAAGCAAAAACTAATCCTAACACTGATTTTAAAGAATTTCTAAGAGTATAGATGAAGAATAGTTGTCCTAACTGTGGTCCTGCAGTGAGTTTGCCTGACTTAAAGAGCCTGTGTTTGACTGGGGTTAAAAAAACAGCAGCTGTTGATAGGCGTCCATCATGACGGCAGGTCTCTTGAAAAGCACAGTGCAGATGATGAGTGAAGAGAAAGGACACCAAAATTAGACCCAGCAAACCTTCGGAAAGCCTACACTTATAACTAGCATGCAGCTTTCAACAGCCTGCAGGCATCAACACACACCCAGTGCATGGATATGTATTAATATGGTTACACAAACACACTATACAGACTCGTGTGGTCTATACTTTATTTTAGCTTCAGTTTTTTATAATGCATAAAGCATGGCATTCAACTTGTTAGATTATATTTTCTTTCTATAATTTCCCTTAAATTTTGAAGTTAAATTTGTAACTTTAAATGAAAGTTAATTTGTGACAAATTCAAAGTCAAATTCAAAGACAAGACAGGCTGATCCAGAGACGGATGCCTTAATGTTTAAACTAGATTCCTTCGCCTCTAAAGCCGCTGTTTGTTCTTTGTTGCCAGGGTAACTGTATAACAGAATGTAAGTGATGGAACAAGCCGTGTGCGTCTTTGGTTGGTTTTTGACAAAGGATTTGATTTTATTAGCGTGGAAGTATTTATAGGGTGTGCTACATGAGCTAATGTTGGTTGCAATAAACACACACCTGTCCAAGCCTAACATGTGAGGTTTTGTTGTTTTTAAAGCCCTGCGAGATCCCAGAGATCACACAAATGCACACACGCGTACAAGTTTTGATATTCTGTATCATTTTTAGTGTAACAGCAATTTAGTTGTTAGATATGCACAGAAAAAAAATAAAAAGTTACATAAATTGTTTTCATTAATTTCACTTAACTAAATAAAAAAAATGGAAGTGCAAGTAAACGAAAAAAAAAAATAAAAACAAAACTTAAGAAAGGAAAAAAAAATTTGAAAAAAAAAAAACATTTTAGAGCGCTTTTCACAGGCAAGAGTCACAAAACCAAAATGCAAAAGTGCACCATTTTACCATATTAAGGCAAAAACTACAATAAAAACTAAGCATTTAGAAGGAACAAAAATTAAGCTGATATGGTCGCTTTAAAAGCAAACGGGAATTAAACTGAAATGTGAGCAAAGTTTAATTAAAACTGAAAAATAAAAACTACAATAACTCAGATACAAACCAGACTAAAAGGAAAGATTTTTTACCAGTATAAAGATGAAAGCTATTTTCAGCTGCTCTATATTCAAAAGGGGATTTAGGTACCACCAAATGTTGGATCTGACACTTTTTCACCAAAGTCCCTCCAGACACAGCCCCATCCAAGGCTCAAACCAGGGATCTTTTGCTTGTGAGGGAATTTGTAAAACACTAAACTGTGAAAATACCACAACATATAATATTGTGGGTTCATACATACATTAGAAACATGCACAACTTTTGTTCTTCTGCACTGCAGTGTCAGCTGTCCAGTCTGAAGTAACACAGTAGCTTCTTTCGACAGAACTCGAACAGAGATAAACACAGGATTACAGCTAACTGCTGTGTGGAGCACAGACCTAAAGACCCCAGGGTTACACCCCCCAGGCAGCAGTGTTAAGTTTCAGACTGGTGAGAGACTGGTAAAGTGATCTGAGGAATCGGCTTGTGAGCACTCTGCGTAGGAACGTGGGGAGAAACTGTGAAACCAAACTGACCGCCTTGCAGCATGAACCCTGATTTGTAAAAATAAGCAGACGTATCCTCAGAAGAGATTCCACTGCAACTTACTGAACACATTGCAAAGCTATATTTTTAGGACTGTTTCCTTTCGCTGAATTGTAAGAAACTGTAAGAAACTCGCAAGGGTTTAATTAAACTATTTCAGTCAGGGTTGATAGCTAGTTCAGTTAAAAGATTATTTGGAGTCCTTCCTGTTCTTTATGTATTTGTGCATTTTAATTGTTGCTAATCAAACTGTCTGGCCTATCAGACACAGGCCTGACTTTTACAGGTCATACATTTGTGACTAAAGCAAGCAGCGACTGAGCTTCTTGTTCTCACTAATATTCCAGGGACATAAACAGCCTATTCCTGGATCTGTTTATTGAGCCCATCCTGAACTGACCTTTATGTGTTCTGGTGGTGGAACTCGCATGTGGCTGTTAATAGAATTATCATAATTGCATCTGAAGTTGTTAATGTCACTGTGCTGGCCAGAAACTATTAAGTTATAATATCTTTCTTTTTTTTTATAGCATTATCAAATGTTTTTTTTTTTTTGTCTAAAATATAGTCACATGGCACATGTTGTGTTTGGGCTGTTTGTGTATGCACAGAATATGCACCAAACTGACATGTAAATTTTAAAGGTTATACACTTATATACACTCTAGATTCAAGCAAAGTAAAGTCTTTGTTATTGCTGGGCTTTCCTTGGACAAAATTCTAAGAATAAAACGAAGATGCTCCGGGTCGAATCAAGACCCCGGTCTGGCTAACACATGGAACTGTCGGTCAGGTTTGTCAACCAGAGACGCGGAAAGAGGAGGAGGGGTGCTGGAAAAGTTGCAGTTGCAGCACAATGGTTGCAGAATTAAGACTCTGTGATATAACAAGTTGAATTTATAACTGCTTTCTGCAGTGATGTCAAAGGAACATGAGGTGTCAAAACGGCATGTCGACCAGCTAGTCTGATGATGAATATAGCGCTTCGCATTTCCAAGATGCAATACGCAGGATTCACTCTTCTCCATCACAGCAAAGAAGGTGCATAAGAGTTGCAGGTATCTGTATTATCAATTACAATATACCTTATGTGGTTTTAATACTAAAGTTTTACGTGTTATAAAACTCTATTTGACGGGTTTATCAAACTCTAAGTATGTGAGAATTACTAAAGGAAGCACTTTAGCTTCCACTTGTCTTCCTTCTCCAGCTTTATACCGGAGAGAGCACGTTCTCACAGCCCTATCAGCCACTCTCTAAGTCCGTATTCCCACAGCCCCAGTTTTACATCAATGCAGCCCAAAGCACCCAAGGGGCACCATGCAGGGTCCAGAGAGAGGCTCCAATGGTCTCCATCCCCAACGACGATCTTGGGAGTGGTCGTCACACTTAAAAAGGGGTGAGGGTGAAAGGCAGAGGGATGATCCATGGAGGAATGGGAGCAGCGTGGAAGATGATTGACCTGCATACAATATAGCCCTGTGGGACACCAGATGATCGACATAAGGGATTCGATTTATAATGACGTAGGATTTTATAGCATCTATTTGTTTATACAAAACAAATAGTATAACCTCATCTGTATTGTTCCTGGAGTCTAGTTTCTAGTGTTTTTGTGCCTCTGTATTACCCCCTCTCAGTTCAGATTAAAAAAAGGAATTACAAGTGGGTGCTGAGCAGTGCAGGTCACAATACTTGACAGCCTGGAGAGATGTGTGTCATATGTCTGGGCCTAGTAAACTGACATGTCTCTAATGCCAAAAAATAACAAAATGTAATTTTTACTGCTGAATGGCTCCCAAGGATCTATTAATAAACGCGCTGAGGTGGGCTGTATGAAGGAGGGAAATTTACACATTGTATGTTTGTTAGTGTTGCAGTCTTAGATAGACTCATTTTACACAGTATGCATGATTTTCATATACTGCAGAGATTGACACAGAGTTTTGAAGATATGTTTGTTATCAGCCAAAATTAGATGATAGGATCGATAACAATTCCTACGCCTAGCTTCACATAATTTCTGAAGGAAGGAAAAAAAAACTTCTTGCTAAGATTTGTCAAAGGGGAAATTAAAGCTATGAAATGTCATGTGATATCTTTTATATTTATCTTTGAGACGCTGGGTAACTGAATTCCATGGCTGACGCCTGTGTTCAGTAGCTGCATTCTCCATTTGGGAAGTCGTGTGCTCATTGTGGGACACACTAAAATTGACACATAAACACAGCTCTCTGTATCCTGGTCATGTTTACAAGTGCTGCAAATAGAATAAAGCTGTTTTAAAGTTTGGCGATCTAAATAAAGATCAGATAAAGTATTTAAAGTTGCTCAAAGATTGCATTTTTGTTTCATATTCGCAGCCATTTCCGATCAGAAAGACCTCCGTCGGTCGAGTCGTCCACATATGCAACCTCCCTGAGGGCAGCTGCACGGAGACTGATGTCATCAACCTGGGAATACCCTTTGGCAAAGTTACCAATTACATTCTCATGCGGTCTACACATCAGGTAAAACAAAATGATTATTTATGAGTGAATAGTAACTTGTTGTTCATGTTTAGGTCTCAATTACATGTCTATATAAAAAGTAAATTATACTTTTGGCCATTGCTCATTCAGATCAGTAAATTCTTTGTTACATTAGTATAAAAAGGTAACTTCTGTGCTTAAAATGTGCACCATGCAGGACACATGGTTACAGTTTTCTTTATTTTAGCATTTATTGATTGATTGCAGCTGCTTGTCATACATACAGTTGACCGCTGGGGTTTTAATACCAGTGGCAGGGTGTTGTAATTATACCCCGAACTTAACTTTAAAATATATGAAGCATCTTGCTATGTTTGCACAGATTTCTTTAGTGGTTACCGCCAGATAAGTTGCGGATTGGATGATTACCTTTATATGGAGCACATGTGTAAAATTCCAATGATCTTTTTTTTCCCTTTTTTATTATCTGCATCTTCTTTTCTGCCACGGCTGTTATATGATACCAAACACTTAGTCATAACTTACTGGCTGTTTAACTACCAGTACTTGACAGCTCACTTAGGCTCCAGGGTTTCGTTTAACAGACCTGCAGCATTCATATCACCCCTATCAAATTTAAAGCATTCACTCTAAAATCCCTGTATTAGTTGCAAAGATTAAAGAAAATGTTTCAGTGAATTATTACGTTAATGAAATACAATACTGGAGGATGATGATGTTCAGATTTTCTTCCATCTACTCTGTCATCTGAAACGTATATATGTCTGAGAAGATTCGCCCTGAAAAAAAGAACCTCTCGTAACAGGGTTCATGTTTATTGCAACTTTCTAACATTGTATTCCTCCATCAGGCCTTTCTAGAAATGGCATATGTAGAGGCAGCTCATGCCATGGTTCAGTACTACCAACTTACTCCAGCTATGATTAACAACCAAAAACTTCTAATACGAATGTCTAAGAGGTACAAGGAGCTGCAACTCAAGGTAAAACTAAAGAGAAACATTTCAAAAAATCAGTTATACACTATGTTGGGCATTTACTAAACCCATAAGTCTTTTTAATTTAGAAACCAGGTAAAGATGTTCAATCAATCATCCAGGATATTACCTCACAGCGGGAAAGGGATGAGATGCAACAACATGAACAGTAAGAAAACTCAAATGTTTGTTTTCATGCAGCAGACTCCTTTGAGTTGCTAATGGAGAAAATGCAATCTCAAAAACGTGCATCTTCTCTTTCTAGCTTTGTACCAGAGCGAGCACGTTCTCGCAGCCCTATCAGCCACTCTCTAAGTCCTCATTCCCACAGCCCCAGTTTTACATCATGCAGCTCAGCCCACAGCCCCCAAGGGCCACCATGCAGGGGTCCGGAGAGAGGCTCAGACGGCATGGGCCCCCACCGGGGCTCATGGGAGTGGTCGTCACACTTAAGAAGGGGTGAGGATGAAAGGGAGAGGGATGATCCGTGGAGGAATGGGGGCAGCGTGGATGATGATCGACCTAATGGTGGACGGGCGCCTGACCGTCGAAAGACCTACCAAAAATCTTTAGATCATCTTAGTTTCAGATCTACAGATGAGCGAGGAGGTGGAGGTGGAGGAGAAGGGATGAGGGGCAGAGACTGGCACCCACGAGGAAGCCCTCAACGCTCATCCTATAATTCGTACAGGAACATCGAAGATGATTTCTACAAGGAACAAGTGTACAAGTCAGACAAGCCGCTCAGAGCTCCATACCAGCGACATGACACAAAGCCAAAGAGGAGGGATGGTGATGACTACCACTCTAGGTCCAGGCATTCAGAATTTGAGATGGCTGATCAGAAACTTTGCAGAACACCGGAAAATAAGAGGCAGAGTTCACCAGGCAGGGGCAGGAGTAAGAAAACAAGCAGAAGCTACACAGCTGCGGAGAAAAAAGAGAAAGAAAATGCTACTGAAAATACTGTGAGTAACTTCTGTAAATGTACATTGTTTATTTACATCTGTCAAATATTTCTTGTAACTAAAGCAATTAAATTTTTCAGGACCGCGAGTCAAAAGAAAAATCAGTTTCACCTCAGCAAATCAGTAAGACAAAAGAAACTTCTGAAGGTGGTAAAGACAGGGACGCTGTAAGTAAACATGATGTTTATGACACCTTATAAGCTCTGGCTTTTAATACACTACTTCCTGCTTCCAGGAAGTAGTGTATTAAAAACAATTTTCTTGACCTGTTTTCTTAGGAGAAGGATCGGGAAAGTTGTGACGACACAGATGAAGAGTGTTGGTATCCTAAGAACATGGAGGAACTGGTCACTGTAGATGAAGTGGGAGGAGAAGATGATTCCATTATTGAGCCAGACCTTTCTGAGTTGGAAGAGTTTGCATCCTGCCCCAAAGACTCAGCAGGGGAGCCATCAGTAGAAGAGTCTATATTGCCGTCTTCCTCATCCTCGGAGGTGCAGCCAACATCTAATGAGAAATCTCCAGAGACTGAAAAGTCTTGTGGGGATGCTGGAGACCAGGCAGCAACAACTGTAAATGAGAAACAAGAGAATGTTACAACTTCAGCCAAACCAGAAGAACAGAAAACGAATCCAGTGACTTCTGAGTTACCAGTTGCTAACCTTAGTGAATTCCCCAGTGAGGAGTTTAAAGCTGCATTGAAGGAGACATGCTTTGAAGGTAGTGAAATAGCCGACAACGGGCCACCAGGAGAGACTATGGAAAATCACATCTGTGTATTAGAGGACAGCAAGACCCCAGAAGTAGGACAGGTCATGGAAGTAGTCAATAATGGAGTGCAACACCAGGATGATGTTCATAAAAAAGGTACTGCTTACAAGAGAACATTAATGTTCATTAAAAACAAACAAGTGTAGCTGTTAAGCTTATTTTGTTAAACGTATACAGTTTTGTTAATCATTTGTTGGACAAAAGCATCTAGCTAGTGTGAGACCTGTAAAATGATTCCTCTTTCTGTACCTCATTCGAATAAGTCACCAATATGGTCTCAAATGACAGTGCAGGTTATAAATGTAATTAGAGCTACGTGATGGGTAAACTGAGAAGATTTTTTCTACAAGTGTCTTATTTAGTTGTCTAAACCCAGATACAAAAAACAAAACAAAAAGTAAGTACGTTTCTTTCTCATAACTCATATGCCTTTCATAGACTTTGAGGCCCGCTCACCATCTTGTGAACAAGATAGAGCTGTCAGTGAACACGGCATTCCTTTGGGTAAGCATAACAGATTTTTGTTACTATGACTGTTGAACTAACAAAATCACTGAAAGCGAGCGGTTCTCGTTCTAAAGTTTATCCAATCATTCGGAATAAAGTCCACAACCTAAAAAAGTCACCAGTAGAAGACTGGATGTCTGGGTAGATAACCCATTAAGTTACAGCAGTATCAAGGTAAAAAGTAACACCTTTTTTCTAATCTAGTCTAGACTCTTACGTGTGACATTCTGATTAAATTAAAAAAAAAAAAACAACTTTTTATGAGAATTTGCTGCTCAGATAAAACACACAACAGGGTATGGTCAGCTTCAAATGCATTTGCACTACTGGAAATACTTTAGGTTTAGGTGAGGGAGCCTGCAGAGCACGCAGGAGAAAGGATTTTGTACTATTGAGCTGGCAATTTAAAAATTGTTTACCATCAGATTTCATTGCATTAGAAATTCACAAGCTCACACACACCTCCTCTGCTCCTAACGAGTTTGTTAATAATTAACAACCTCATTCTGATCAACTGCACAATTGTTTGTAAAAGATTTACATTTAATTTAACCTGGTTGTATGTTAGAGGCCAGTTAACACCTGTTGCTGTAAAAAAAATGTATATCCTGATGGTCAGAGAATAAGGTTTGAAAGTCTCAGCGTGTATCCTGATGCTTTTGTCTGCTCTCAGTTCTGAAAATTCTTTAGTCCATATATTTTAAAGCAGTGGGCTTAAAACCTGCTTATCACAGCTATATTTAATCATTATCGTGGACAAAAGCTGCAGGAGTCTTGAGCCCATAATCTTAGTCCCAAAGATAAAGTATTATCTTTTTTACCATTAGTAAGGGCACTGACAATCTGTTGCATTAGCACTCTAATTGCCTGGAACTGCTTGGCCACTTGCTGACCTATTTCTGTGAGCAGGTTGTGAAATGCACCCCTGAGGGATCAGTATTTATATTATCATTAGAGCTAGAATGACACAGCCAAAGCACATGGCCAGTTTTCAGCCTGCGGTGCAGAGACTTACTGTACAAAGGCCCTGGAGTGGCACAACAACAACAGAGCTCAGTGCACAGTGCACACACAGAAGGACTGTGGAGCTATTTCTGTTACATGTGTGTCCAGAAAAAAACTGTGTGCATTAACACCAATGGAATACTGATAAGTCTTCTGATTGTTTCCATCTTGTTCGTTCTTTACCAGCCTGAAAGTGAAAATAGGTGTGTGTGGTGGATGTGTTTTCAATTCAGCTTGGCTCCTGTTAGTTTCCAGCTTTTAAATTTTGTTTTTTAGCCTTTTTCTTATTTGTAATAAATGTGGATCATTGTGGGACCCAGTCAGAAACAAATTTACAAAGGTTTCTGAGTCACTGAGTCAATATGTAACAAAGCCTCAAACAACCATTTAGAACATTCTTAATACATTTAGCTTTTAGTTATTTAAGAGCACATTATCATTGCATTACATATCATTATATATGTCCAGCAATCATTTTATTCCCGCTAACTAAATTTTTAAAAAAAAAATTTAGTTGTTTAGGTTATAAATAATTCTTAAGAGCTTGAAAAGAAGGCGACTGGACTTCTTTTAAAGTCCAGAACTGAAGAAGCCTCATGGATGAGAGGTGAAACATCTTCAAAAAACTTAAAGGAGTCTAGTCACCTTCTCTGCAAGCTCTTAAGACTGCAGATGAGTGAGAACCTATACAGATATGTTATACATAATTAATCCTGCTATTAAAAATAGGGCTTTGGCGTGTCTTTGAGTGTGAAATGAATGCAGTGGGCAGACTATAAGAACTCACTGCCAGCAGGGTATGATCGCTTTTATTGTTAGATAATATAATCCCATTCTTTCAATTGAATTTAACCGCACAAAATCAGATTGTGATTTTATTACATTACCCTATGGAAATCTATCATCAAATGTCCAGTAGAGTTATATTGGACGTTAAACAGCTGTTGCCTTGCCAGCTCCATTCAGTCTGTGTGATGTCTGATCGTGCCCATGTGCAAATAGCTCAGATAATTGCCCGATGGAGTCACAACAAATGATTAGATGTCACGTGTCCTGCCCCATACACTTGATCCAGGTTCTCCCTCGGCTAAATCAAACAACCTGATTCCCCTGACATTGTTCATGACTGAAAACTACTTTAGTTTCTAGGTTTTGTTTATTATAAGATATTTTTGCAATGAGAGTGTAAAGTTCATATATTTTAGGATATAGTTGTTTACAACTGACATACAGGATATTCAAGCAACTGTTAAGGTCTCCACCTACCTCATCACTCCCAGTGTGCTTCATTCAGTGCTTATTGGTCCAACCATGTTTAATTTTTAACCAAGCCTCTGTTTACCCTCAGCTGCAACCCATCTGGTGCCCTTAAATCTGTTACTATAACCTATGCAGACTGGGGAAAATAGAACAAATATTAGAAAGCAGAAAAAAAACAAAACACGTCTGGACAGGATACATTTGGATTAAAAGACAATAAATTTTAAAACCTTGTGATGTTTGTTAGAATAAAGAATACTATGTATTTTCTATGGATAAAAAGAAAAGAAAGGATGATGGAGACTATGAGTTAAAAGAAGTCAGTACAGGAAAAAAACATTTACAATTAAATTTTGTTCAAAGTTAATTTGGTATCAGGGCACCCGGGGGAGAGAGAAGAAAATGTGTAATCTGAGACCAGCAGCATGATGGTTTCTGTCAGCCGCAAAACCCACGCGCCAGTCCCAGTAGAGTAGTTAATTTACGTTTGATAACTGACCTTCTATAATTGTTTTTTTTTTAATTATTATCCATCCATAACGTATGCAAATGTGTGAGTAGAATGACTCAAATTAGTGGGATGAGGCTTGACTGTGATTCTGGATCAAAATCCTTCTAAAAAAGGTTTCATTAATAAATACCATGCGAGTCCCGTCTTTTGTCAGGGATTAAATTTTAATGATTGTTTTCGCTCTCTCATAGGAGTGGAGTTTGTTGTGCCGAGAACCGGCTTCTACTGTAAACTCTGCGGACTTTTCTACACCAGCGAGGAAACTGCAAAGACCACTCACTGCCGCAGCACGGTCCATTACAGGAACCTACAGGTACAAACTGCGAGACGGCACACACCTCCTTTCTTTTATCCAGTCTTTGAGAAATTAATTATATGAACACATCAAACCTTTATGGCGGGAGATAGTGTATCTGACATAAACCCGTGTGTGCTGGCATTCCCGCATGCCCATATAAAGTCGATCTGTGTGACGCACACTCCTTACTGAGGGATTCATTAGGCCACATCAACTGTGGCCTTAACGAAAGATTACACCAGCTGTTTTCAGCCTAGAGAGTAATCTCTTTGTTCCACAGTCAGCACGTGCATATTATATTAATTTGCCTTGCTTTACTTTACATGAGGATAAAACTTACTTTTCTTTCTTTTTTTTATTAAGTATGATTCTGTTCTCCAAACAGGACTGCAATGATAAAAATGACTTATCTTCATATTTTAATTTAGCACTAACCCCACTGCAGAGGCTGTGTTAACTATTAATGCACGGAGCAAATGATTCATTAACACCTGCAACTACATTATTTGAAATAATCTTTTTCAAAAACAGACTCCATTGCTCTCAGAAAGATGTTCTTCACAAAATTTAGTTTGGAAGACATAACAGATATTAAATAGTCAGATAGCACAAAGACACTTTTGGCAATAAATAACTCTTTTGTCTCTTTTGTTTTCTTTTGTTATTGTTTATTGAGAGAAAGTTTGCTAATTCGAGTTCCTGAAATGTGAGGATTTACTTTTCTAATGGGCGTTAGTGGCTTGACAAATCCACTAACCCATTTTCTAAGTTTTCATTTCATAACAGCTCAAATTTAAATGACAAAAAAAAAGTTTTTAACAAAATCAATGGATCGTAATCGTAAATTGAAATCTAACATAAATATACAGCTTGCTGTCGCGTCCTAACGCGCACACATACACACGAACATAGGCATCGCATGTAAACTTGCGACTGTATTAGGTTTCCCGTTATTGGCCAGTCAGCACCGACCCATCTTACATTTCCCTCGTCCTTTGCAGCACAGCTGAAGCGAGGTCGGGGAGTGTGTTTCCTTCACATTTGATGCATTACATTCCAAGGAGGAAAAAAACAGTTTTAAACAGTTGTGCTGTCTGTCAAAGCTCTGTGTGTTTAGTAGTTTGTTTGATTTTGTTTTGATTCTTGTTTTACTCTTCTCATCTCCAGACAGTACAAAATAAATGATTTAAGCCATCGTGCTGACACTTCTCAGGATGAGGCTGGATTTTTATATAAGCATTTAGATTACTTTAATTTTACTGAGTGTAATGTGTCTCTTCTTCCTGGGATTATATCGATCAATTGTGAAGTGCTTTCCCGTATGGATGGATGTTAGGGTGCTAGGGGATGTTCTGGAGCAAGACTGACGCATGAGAGGGCTAGCACACAACTTGCAGGTATTAAGCAGGTATCTGCTTTGATTTCTTTTTAACAGAAATACCTTTCCCAGCTGGCAGAGGTCAGTCTATCGAGCGTGCTGACCAAACCTCCAGCTGCACAGTGACGATACCTCGACCTCTCACCTGCTGCGAAACGAACATCAGAGGAAGGATTTCCTAAACGATCCTAAAGCACGGATAATGCCATACATGGAACAGGCGGACAAATACAAGAATTCTGATGTTTATGGGAGAGCAATGTTTGAATGGCGCAGGCAATAGAGGCTTTCAGGTTTGTACATACGTGAAGTGAAATGTATAGTAAGGTTTTAAAATTTAACTTCAATTTTATCATTTTTCTTACAGTTTACTTTAATGGTTTGTGTGAAATGAAATTAAGTTATATTGTTGGAATAAAAGTGCATTTACATTTATCTTAAATTATCTAGAAAAAAGTCTTTTACAGTTTGTGTTTTGAATTTTGTCTCGTCATCACTGAAACAACTGGGACAGACTTACGTCTGCTAAATTACTTGAATATTTTGAGTATTAAGTTTATGATTTTTTTTTTGTTACAGAGCCTGAGAGCTATGTGTATTTAAGAAAACTAGACAATAACAAAAAAACAAACATTTGTGGCATTTGTTTTTTTCACTTGTGACATCATCAGTGAGGATGTTTTCTTCATCTGCTTGTGTTTTATCTTCTCGTACGTCTTTGTGACGAGAGCTCTCAGGGCCACTGTATTTTTTTCCCCCTCGGTTTAAAAACTGAGGCAGATTCTCAGGTTTATTGTTCTTGTTAAACAAATTTCTCTGTATAAATAATAAAATTAACATTTTTATTTATATCTAAGGCTGTTTTTGTTTTGTTTTTTCCCTTTTTCCCCAAATGCGATTGTGAACTTCAGTATCCGTCAGGGAAAACTATACGTCCTTTAGATTAATAATGTTTCAGTGATACAAAAGATCTTTATTTTCTCTTTTATGTTGAATGTAATTCATAGGACAATCCCAGTCATATTTGCCAAGACATGCCTTAGATATGAAACTTCAACTGGACCATGTGTTTAATTTAAACATGAACTGTTTCATGTTACGACAATTTGTTACGGAGGGATTATCAAGCTCACACGCTGTTTTTGTATACTGTGAATACTGATCCTGTGACTTCAGCAATATAGTATTATTTTTCTTTGACAGACTTCTTGACTTTTTGATGGAAAACACTTGAATAAACATTGTGAATGTCTCAAATTAGCCATCTTCCTTTCTTGAACAAAAAACAGATTTGATCATTTTGCTTTAGCAGCTTTTTTGTGTGTAATAACCTTGAAAGGCAGTGCTGTGAAAGAGCTCCACCAAGTGTTGAGGCAAAAAAAAACCACTACATCCATGTAATTCTGCAATAAATCTACTGCTGTAAACAGAAATGTAAAACCAAGAGAAAGTTTTTAAATGCAGATGCGTGTTTTTTATTTCATCATTATTTGTTTACTGTGATAAATTTGAATCTGCTGGTTACTCACAATATGCAAAAATCCGAATCGCACTACAAAACTGGAAATGCTGTCAATTGCAAAAATCCTTTTGAGTGACCTTATGATGAAAATGTTGTAATGATAATTTAAGTTTGTTCATACACAAGGTTTTCAGAATTTTTAGTTATTCACTTAAAATACCAATTTTAAAAATGGAAGATTGGCCATGTACCCCACTTTTCAACTACATGTATTTTTTTTTTAACGTTTAGTGAAATTATCATTACATTAAATTAAGCATAATATTGCCATGGTGGAAAAAAATCAGTTTTTAATATTAATTAAACATCAGTTGTCCCTGGTGTTAACGTACAAAACGTTTTTGTAAAGTAATGCATCATCCCTTTATATCAATAGGTCTGGAACTAGAAACTGGAAGTGAGATATACTGTACGTAATAAATTTATTAGACCACCTGACATGAAAAATAAAACAACAACAATAAAAAACATAACACATTTTTAGAAAGCTGTCACAGTCTTGTTTAAAACTAAAAATTATATTGGTATTTATTAGCCATATAAAATGAATTCATGTTTCTACACTCAAATTTGAGCCAGAACAAGTATAACATTCAATCACTAAAACCAATTGAAAGTAAAGGAATTATAAATGTGAATTATAAAGTTGGTAGCCACATTTTGCAGACTCTCCAATACTGACTGTAACTTGGATAGCTTCCTCCTTTCTGAAGCCTCTGTCAGACAGTCAAGCTCCACACCCACAACGGCGCTGGCATTCGGATTAGTGTACTGAATCTGTTATTTTCCACCACACTCAGTGTAATGCCCTAGCACACAACAGCAAAGAGCATGGTACTGTCCAGCACAAACTCATAAAAGATCCTGAACAGCTGTAAAAGGAGCTCAGTCATCTCTGAAAATAGAAACAGAGGCCTTCTGTGTTTTTGATGAAGTCCAGTTTATTGTCATGAACACCAAAGTATTTGTAATCATCTACTTTCTCCACACAGACCCACTGGATAAAAATAATGGTCACTAGTGTTTGTGTCTACCTCATCCACAACCACTTTTTAGGGTTTGCCACATTAAGCTGCAGATGGTTTTACTCACTCCTTGTGACCAAGTTGTCCACCACAGCCTTATGCTCTTTTTCATCACTCTCTCTGATACATAGAGAGGTTGATGAGGAAGAAGGGCCATTTAATGGTAGAGAATTTATGTATATTTTGCATTAGAAACTGTCAAAAATAAAAAATTAAGGAGGTTGGTGGGGAAGGTGCAGTGGATGAGTGAATAAAGGAATGCTTTTGATTTGATTGAAGATATGTGGCAGCTATTTTGTTGTAAAAATGCCCTTATATGTCATACTTTACACATGCCTACATGCTGGTTTAGCAATTGGTGATGGAATAAGCAAAAGTTTTAGCACTAGCATCTCAATATTCTTCCTCCATTATTGATTTTAGAGGATTTTTGTGAAAATAAAAGACATTTATACAAATTTAGACATATACTTTAATCTTTATTTTTAAAAAATACAAATAGAAATGTATAAAGTACCACACAAATAGTTTATATTTTAATAATGTCTTGTCCTAGGCTATCGATAATGTAACGTCAATAAAACCATAGCTTTATTATTATTTTTTTGAAACCTGCATGTTGCAGCTGCCAGTACATGCCATGTTTGCCAATAAAGGACTTCTATGTATAGAAAGTGCAGCTCCGCGACATCGCCGACAGAGGGCAGCACTTAATAAAGCACACGGCCTCACAGAAATTGCGAGAAGGAATTCCGTGTTGCATGCTGATTGGCTCTTTCTTTAAAAAACCTTTCTCCCAGCCAATGAGCAAAGGAAAAACATTGGCCTAAGTGCCAGCGTTGCCTGTAAGTAAAACAAAAACAACAGTGTTCGTGTCACAGTTTGGAGCTTGGACCCAGCAAACGGTCGGAGATTTTTCTGTTGTTTGTTTTTTTTTCTAATGCTGTGATTTATATGACAGCGTAGATAAAGATATTAGGATTTTATAGATGTATTTCAAGATGGAGACCGAGCTCGCGACTTTGCAATTTGATATTATGTTTAATTGACGTTCGGGCTTCGAGAAGAAGAGCTAGATAACAGTTAGCGACGCATAAAACGCCTACAAAAGTGCGGATATTGGACGGTGTGGGAGTTTTATTCGTTGATACGCGCACTGAGATAGATTTTCTCTGTTTATTTAAAGCGGTTACATCTCCTAGCAGTGAATATTTAAGCTAATGTAGCGTTAGGCATTGTTTATCAACAGTGCGACTTTGAATGAACAGGGGGGCGGGGGAGGCGTGGTGTTACTGAATCTTGTCTGGGCTTGTTATCGACGCACGTCCGCACATAAGGTGACAGTTTCTTGTTCGTTATTGCAGGTATCGCTTGAAATTCTGTTTTTGCGCCGTTCCGCCGCAAAAGCTTCTTTTCTACTGTAAATCATGGCAGCTGACTGCGAGGCCTGGCTGAACGCAAACCCCGTGGGTAAGTGTGAGCATTCAGAGCCATTTAAGTATTGTGCTTCATCAGCTGGATAGGATGTGGGGCAGTGGGGTTTTTTTCATGCGGAAGTGGGTGAAAGTATGTTATCTTGCACTGTGTACAGATTCGGTTACTTTTTTTTTTTACTCCCCCTCAGCTGTAGTCTGTGTTTAAGTGCAGATAGAAATTAACTGCATGCATGCATATTGTCAATCAAATCAAACCAAACACGAACTCACCACAATTTTCTCTTGTAAACCAACAGAGGTTGGAGACCTGAGTGACTCTTTTGTATCTGGGGAGGAAGACAATGGAGGTTTCATTATCTCTAATAAAAATATTAACAACGAGATCAATGGCAACTGGGTGGCCTCCTCTAGCAACAGCATCCATGAGGCACGTCTGAAGGCCAAGGCCAAGCGGAGGCTGAGGAAGAACTCCTCCAGGGACTCTGGCAGGGGGGACTCGCTCAGCGATAATGGAGATGTGGTTAGGGGAACTTCAGTGGCACCCACAAGTCCCAAGAGCAAGCTGCTGGACAGAAAGTCCCGGCTCGGGAAGGGCAGAGGCCTCCCAAAGAAAGGTAAGAGCATATTATTAAATGAAGAACGTAGCACAGTTGTAACCAAAGCACGGTCGTTATCAAAGGCATGTGAATGTTTATCAAAGAGCCATTTGTATTTCAGATTCCAGGACTTCAAAGGGAAGGTGCTACATCCACACATTCATGTAGTGCTGTCATCCATTCTTCTTGTTGTTTTTATTTTATGGAAGCCATAAACCAATTAACAAGTAAACAAATGGCTCAGACTCACTTGTATCCTCTTTTTCTCCTTGCCATCTGCTCAGCCAACCCTTTCTGGAAATTTCCAGGCTTCTTTGCAGCATGCTGAATGCCCCCCTGCCCCAAAAATAGCATTGTAACATAATCGTTCGTTGTAACTAGTTTTGTTAATAGGAGGTCTAATTTTTTTTCAACAATCCTACAATTTTGTTGTGAGAAGGTTAAAATAAAAACAATCCTGGTACCATTTTGTGTATAATGTACCAAAAACTGCTTTTGTTGTTGATATTAATGCACAGGATGTGACATGAATAGTCCATCTTTAAGATAACTATTGGATGCACAGGTGCTGTTTAAACGAGTCTCAAACTCGAAGCTACAGTCACAAGGCTTATGGAGCATCTGATTTCCTGTGTTTTTGTTGTCTATCTATTTGGGTGTAAAGCAACATTAACGCTATAGATAATTATGCTATTGAAAATATAATTTTTCAATCAGCTGGAAATGTTGCATAATGGCTTCTCTGGCCTGCCAACATTTTGCCTCTTGTATAGGTTGTATAGATAATTGTTGGTTTCTAAGTAGATGAGAGTTTAGTAAAGTGTCAGCATTTTCCAATCCTTCAGCCATCTGCAGATCTTTAGTGATGTCAGCATACAGTTCTCGGTTACAGTATGTGTCCCTGCAGACTGCAGTACAGTTCAGGCACTTGACTCTCCCCATGGGCATGTCTAGTTTCTCCCTGCGCAGAGCTTGCCCTCTTTTGTTTCTGTTTCTTTTTTTTTTCTCGATTGCGTAACAGAACTGCCACACTATCAGAGCCTGGCAATTTGAGCTTGTAGCTTTCCTGCATGAAAATTTTATGCATTTAAGGTTTGGAAAAACATTGAAGAGGGTGTACACAAGTGTAATGTTTAAATGCTAAAGCTTGGCGGTTTTCACAACCAAGGTGGACTCAGCTAAATATAGTGACATGTCGTATGCCACATACTGGGTGGGAGACTAATGGAGGTTTTAAGGGATGTCTCACAAGCTGCTTTGGCATTCAGCTTC